GGGGGGGGGGGGGTCCCGTCAAAACTGTATGTCAAGAAGCCTGATTCTTTAATCTTAATGGCGCTCCTTAAAGCCTTGCTTGCAGGTGAATGTTGTGGTCTAACAGTAAGCTTCACACAGGACAGACCGCACAGTGCTTTAGAATGGTGCATAATTATCAAAAGAGGATTATTTTCTATGCAATAATGGACTATTTGAACTAAATAAACATTACATTCGCATATTTTAGCAATGATATATATTTTTTATCTATTGGATTTTTGTTTACAAACGGAAGCAATGTGCGACAATATTACACAACACAAAACAATGACAACTAGAATGCTATAATCTTTAACATAGCCTTCAATGAAGCTTTTTTAAATCTTGTAATTTGATGCTCCAGCACAAATCTTAAGCTTCAGTTTTATCGGTACAGAATGGAGTGTCTTCTCTCTTAAAATGAGGTAAATTTATTATTGATGTTATGTAAATTCTTCAAGATGCACTTTTTACCACTTTGGTCTTCTCTACTTGCTTTATCATTTTTTTTTTCCAATCAAAAGACCTTTTTTATTGGAAAGAATTTAATACTGAGTGAAAAGCGAGCTGAAAATAATGGATGATGATTTATTAGAGGATCTTTTGTCGTGGAAGGCGGAATCCGCAACACCAATGAATGATAGCGGAAAGACACTTCCCACGGCACCAACTAATGCCCTTAACTCATCATCACCATCCAAAGAAGCGGAAACGTATCTCTCGATTCCTTCAGACCTTAGAGAAGAGCTTTTTGATTACCAGCGAGATGGAGTTCAATGGCTGTATAAAAAACACTGCAAAGCGCGTGCATGTTTATTAGCGGATGAGATGGGACTTGGGAAGACTGTTCAGGTGTGTACCTTCCTGGGGGCTCTCTACTCGCAAAAACAAATTAAAACCACAATTATCATAGTACCTCCCACTTTGTTGCCTATGTGGACGAATGCACTAGAGCAATGGGGAAGGTTGGATGCCAACATGGTCGAGGTCGTGCACAACGACACAAAAGGCAAGCGTACCAGTCGATGGAAGAAGTTGACCTACGGGCTGCCATGCGTAATGCTCACGACGTATGGCGTGCTCCGACAGGACGCCGCCAACATGAACGTTGTTATGGTGGACTACGTCGTTTTAGATGAGGCTCATCTCATAAAGGACGCCAGCACTCAGACCTTCAAAGGTGCTCTCGCACTCTCATCACGACATAAAATAGCTCTCACGGGAACACCGTTTATGAACAGCTTCGAAGACATGTGGAGTATTTTCAAGTTCCTAGATGGCTCCATTTTGAACGCAAGCCGCTCGGACTTTAGTGCGATCAGTGCAGTCCTTTTGCATGGAAGCGGAAGTGATGCGGGCGAGCAGAATCGCCTGCGAGCAGAGTCTGAGTTGACGAAGCTGAAAGCCGCCATCAAGCCATTTATGCTGCGCCGTGAGAAGGTGGATGTGCAGTCTGTGAGCTGTGTGAAACACGACTCAGTCGTGTGGCTTAGTCTCTCTGAGGTTCAACGGAAACAATACGAGCTTTTTCTACAAAGCAGGTTTGAGGAGAACAGGACGTCCCCACCTAACGGGGGTGAAGTAGACGAGGACCTCAGTCAAATGGATGAATGTGTAAGTGGTGAAGGCGATGCTCTTACAAAGGGGGGCGAGGGCGGATCTCTGGTGCTTTTGACAGCCCTCTCGCAGATATGCAATCATCCCTGGTTTAGCCTGACGGATGCAGGGTTCCACGCCTCCCTCACAAATCCCTTTCAGGTGTCATGCGAGGAGGCTGGGGATATCTTCGCTGGCCCCAAGCTCAAGATTGCACTTCACATCATTACCAGTTGTATTAATACGTCCCACCGCAAGTGTTGTGTTTTCTCGCGAACGAAGCGGATGCTATCAATGCTGGCGGTTCTACTGGAGATGTCGTCCATCTCATTTACACGTATGGATGGTGATATCACCAGCCCCACAGAGCGCACCCGCGTTATTCGTGAGTTCAACGAAGACCCACAGCTGTGGGTCTGCTTGCTGACCACGCAGGTGGGCGGACTTGGGGTCAGTTTCCACGGGGCTTCTTGCGTTATCTTAATGGACCCGAGCTGGAATCCGTCGTTGGATTCCCAGGCAGTTGATCGTGTTCATCGAATAGGTCAGAAGAATCAAGATGTGTTAGTCTTTCGTCTTTTGACCTGTGGGACAGTCGAGGAAAAGGTCTACCGCAATCAAATCCTTAAATCGGTGGCAGCCAAGCAGTCAATGCAGAGGTCTAAGGAGCAACTGCCAGAGTTTCATCGTTATTTCACGCGAATACCGCTGCGAAATATGTTTGAGGTTGGGGAGTTTGACAAAAGTCTCACAGCAGCCCATTTAGAGCTCTTACATTCAAATAAGGTTCAATCATTTGTGAAAGATATCGTCAAGGACGCCCCACACGTCTGTGCCGTGAGTGATCATGGATGTTTGATGACCGAAGTGACCGCCACGGTGGAAGGAGAGAGCGAGTTGACTAAGGAGATCTCTACACCTCCGAAGAGGGTAGCGAAGCGCAGTCGTTCTCTTTCTCACACCCAGTCACCAACTCCACGCCGTCGTTTGCAGTCTCCAGAAGGGGATTGAGTCAAGGCGATTTACTTTCAGCTGCCTTTATATGGGCAAAACACTTTGCTATAGTGCGACCACCCGTCCCGAGGCGCTTAAAAATGAGGAGAGCGCCTTGCCTAACCCAATCTGTCGATAAGATCAACACCATTGCGAGGACGTTAGTTGACTTGAGTTTGTCTGAATAAGTTAATTCATTGAATTCTTCCGAATAATTTAAGGAATGCATTAGGAATGAATTCTATCTTTCGTAAGTATGAAAAGGAATTTATGCGTATGTTAATATGTATAATTCTCACCTCTGTATTGTATTGCAGCCATGTTTTACTATTGTTTTATTCAACAGCCAGAAAATTAGATAGGGACTTCCTAATTTTTCATGTCTGTACAATACAGCGAACGCTTTTTAATAATGGAGAGATGATTATCTCTTGAAACTCTAGGGAAAATTATCTTACTCCAATTATGAGATAAAAAGTCTCACTGAATGTGTCTACCTCTGGAGGGGACTTTCAGAAAGTATTTCTGACATTCTTCTACGGCTGTTTGTAAAAAGCAACATCTGTAGACTTAATATTCCTCCTTGTGATATTTTTCCTTCTTTTTTTCCACCATTTTCCTTTATTTTCGTTCTAATCCATAGAAGGCAACAAAGACGTTAACAATGAATTCGCCATCTATATTTCCAATGCTGCTTGGCTTTGTTAGTGGGTTTTCCATCTTCCACACCTTCTTGCCTGAAGCCATCTATACTAATAAAGCCCCGAAAGAGGAACACAAAAACTCAGATAATGCCATTCTGCGCACCGTCACAACCTTGATTGACACGGCTCAAAACCTTTCTGGTCCTTCTCAGATGGGGCGTACTCTGCAGGAGGACATTACTTCACTTCGGGAGAACTACATGTGGACCTGCACTGCGGCGACCTTTTTATTTATTGCATCCGGAGGGTTCTATTTCCTCTTGGGTGGTGCTGCTTATGTTTTTTTCAGTCATCCCGATGGTCAAAAAAATTACGTTGCACTGAAGCAGTGGGCAAAGAAAAAAATTAAGCAATAAAACGGAGTGCTACGTTACTAATCAAAAAAATATGTGTAGTGGGATCGGATGGCTAAGTCCATCTTCATACGCAGATCACTATCCTACGAGAATCTTCTTTTTCTAACTCCAGCTCTGACCATCAATGATTTACTCAACGATACGCTCTCAGTTCCCTTTTCCCTTTGTTATGAGTCAGGTAGCTCTTGTGATGAAGTGATTCTCAGTGCAATGCTACAAAATATTAACATTTCCTTCTTCCTTCATTGCACCTTCATTAGGGTCAGAGAGTGCCCAAAACAAATGCTCGTTGAGCTATAAAATATTAGGCTCTTTTTACCATTTTCACACTGGCAAGGACTAGAAGGGAGTTGCCATTGCTGAACTTTGAAATTTTATTTCTGTATGCATTATGATACGAAGCGCGTTTCCGCTTTTTGCTTATTCTGTGACATGACTACACTTTTTTTTTTTATCAATGGTTTATGAAAAGGAAATAATAATAGTAATTACTCCAAAAAAGTAGAATGTACGCTATTTGTACTTATATCTTGTACAGGTATGTTCATATTGTACATTTTGATACAATTATTTTGCTAATGTTTTAGTGCAGTATTATTTTTCGGTTTCAAACATATAAAATATACAAGCCATTTATGTTCGCGCCAACGCGGTGATGAAATGATTCCACTATTCACATATGAGGTATGAATATAAAATTGAATATATACTTTACAAAGCAGGTTCATTATTCCTTTTGAAGGTTTAATGACTTTTTTTTTTAAGTATTACTTATAAATGATGATTATTTTCATTTTTTTTTGCCTCTCAGTGAAACCGACTACGTCCCCTGAGAAAAAAAGGAGAGAGAGGTGAAGTCTGTTTGTTGTAGAAAGATTATACTACATACGGGTGAAAGCCCAACAAATATATTCTAAAGGGTCAAAACAAAAGAGTGCGGTATATTGATTTATATTAATAATAGAAAGTGCCAGAGACGTGTAGAATGAAATTTCCACTGAGTTTATATGGCCTTGTTGCGTCCCCTAAGTTTCAAATGTGCGTGGATGCGGCCGAGTATGTAAATAGATACCACCCACAGCTTTATCACATTACCGTCTTCCACGAGGTGCCCTGCGATTACAACCGTCGCTATAAGGATTTACAGCAAAAGGGGCACTTGGGCGACAAGGTAACCCCATTAGAGGCACTGCTCGTGGAGGATGGGTCAGGGGCCGTGCAGACTTCGGACGACTTCCTTACCGAAGTGCAAGGTCAGACGGCTTTCCGCATACAGTCCGTGGACCCATTATCCCCGGACTCGTTTGAAAACCGAGCGCAGCGCGCGTGGATGGACTTTTTAAAGAAAAAAGGTAACCTGTACAGCTGGATATCTGTCAGGATAGGAGACCGCTCTGTAGGTCTCATTACATTCGAGCTGTATTCGAAGGTGTTACCGAGGACCTGCCAGAATTTCTGGTTACTCTGCCGTGGGGATGTCGGAACGGTCATCTCGGAGACGGACGGCGGGCCAGTACAGTTGACCTACAAGGGGACCACCTTTTTTCGCATCCTGAGGGACACCTGGGTGATGGGCGGGGACGTGACCGTCGGGCACACCGGCAATGGCGTGTACTCTTGTTATGGCCAAAACATGCCCGATGAGTCTTTTCACATTCCGCACGATGGTCCAGGAATACTTGGCATGTGCAATGATGGCCCCAACACCAGTGCTTCGTCTTTTTACATCACCCTTAAGAAGATGTCCTGGATGAATGGGCGGTACGTCGCTTTTGGACGTGTCATCGACGGCATGGATGTGTTAGACGCGATTCATGACGCTGAAACGAAGCACAATCAGTCCCCTATGGAATCTATTCTGATAGATGATTGTGGTGTACTAAACGAGGGGATGTAGACGGATAACGCGGACAACATGGGTAAAGGAGAAGGGGAGCTGAAGAGAGGGAAATTGGCATTGGCGTTCTCATCATGTATATCACCACCCACTTTGTATCGTGCAAAAATCGATCAATAGGTAAATATTTATATACCTTGGAGAATATTGTGCTTGAAAATGGGTTATAATACACTTTCTTTTGTACATTTGGCAAAACATATGTTAATATAGAAATATATATATTCTATTTTCACCTTTGGTATAATGCTTTTTCACGAAGCCAGTATTATAAAGCACATTGTGAAATTTAAGGTGACTAGTTTTCTTCTTTTTGACTGACTGTTCTACTAGCATTTATATTATTGAAAGGAAAGGTTGTGTTATCGCCATAGGTGCGGCTTGTGGTTTAATGAAAAAGGGTAAAGGTGATGGGAATCTAGAAAAGCTAAGGGATCAAGGGTTTGGCAAATCTAAAGCTATGCAAGCGCTCAAGGATGCTGGGGGCAATTATCAGCTTGCCCTAAGTATTCTTCGCCAGAGAAAAGAGTTGACAACGGAGAAGCAGACACTAATAGTGGCCAAACCACAATCCACAACCTCACGCGCGGAGGTGGAAATAGTTAATGAGAAACTTGCCCTGAAGGAGCGCAAGCACCCTTGCATAGTGCAGTACAAGAAATGTATTTATGGTGATTCCTGTCGCTTAAAAGACCTTCCTGGCGACACATGCATTAACTACTGCAATTGGTCTTGTATACACGGTGATATGTGTTTTAGACGACACACGATCGATGGCGTTAGCGTCCGTAATTACCTTTCTCCGGTGAAGCATGATGTTTCTGATATTGATAACCCAAAGTATGACAGTGCACCAGGTTCAGATATTAATACCGTCGAACTCCCTCGACACAAGTTAGATTTTATGAAGAAGGATTTTCATTGGATCTCAGTTAGTGCGATTAAGGATTCAGATTCTTCATATTGTAATCATATCCCTAAATCGCAGCTACTCTATGTCGACCCTGTTTCGATGACGGACCAAAACGGCGTGGACGGTGCGTCTGAAGCCTCTAGCCGACCTCAGCCTTATTTGTCAAAAGTTAGACAGCTGGCGCACTCGCCTGGACCGTACTTTTCCCAAACTCAGGATGAGCGTAATCTGAATTCAATCGAAGTTATGTGTCCTCCTCCATCTTATACAAACAAAACTATGAAGCACCCTTGTATTAAACAATTTGGCAAGTGTTGGTATGGAAAGAATTGCTGGTACGTTGACTATGACTCTGACATCTGCATCCATTTTCTTATGGGTCAGTGCAAGTATACGGGTGAGACTTGTCGCTATCGTCACGAAACTGACAAGAGCACATCCGAAGTTCATCAAGCGGACTCTGCAAAAACTAGATTGCCCCACCCCATCATTCCGAAAGTGTTTATGCCCTTTACAAACCAGGTGGACCAATCGAATCCCAAGCCTAACTACTCATTGTCAGTTGTTGAGGAGCCCTTCACGCCATTCTATCAAACGCCTGTACACCCACCCGATCCGGCCCGAATCACGGAAGCGTTTTTCTCCGAACCGGTTGATGAGACTAATGATGACGATATCAGTGACGAGCCCTGGGGCCACGATTTCTTTAATAATGATTCGAATGACCCCACCCAAGATAGTTCCATGGGAGCCACCACCGAGGAGGAGATGAATAGTCTTTTGAGTCTGATGGAGGTGTTTCCCGACACCGAGCCATCGGTGCTTTTGTGTTTACTACGCTTAAATAAAGGCGATCCCAATGCCGCAGTCGGCATCTTAGAAAGGATAGAAAGTATGGCAGTGGAAGATATGGACAATGCATTCGCGCAAGCTTTTGCTGAAGAAGAAGAAGAAGAAAGCATCAAGAGGAACAATCAGTGTGAGTCTACCGATAACCTCCTAACACTTCACGCGCTATTTCCAACCATCGAATTACGAACCATCGAGGTGGTGTTAGACCGGTTTGAGAATAACCTTTTAGAGGCATACGATCTTCTGTTGTGTTCCCAAGAAAAAATTACCCAAAGTGAGTATGGAAACGTATGGAGCGGAGAGATGACCTGTGCTGAGCAAATGCGGTTTAAAAAAATTTGTGGTATGTTTCCCGAGATTGAACCAAGCATCGTCCACAACATATTTGGCATATCCAACAAAAACTCCAATGACACCGTTAACTGTCTTAATCAGCTCACATCTGAGCTACTCGACCCTGTTGAGCGGGAGGCGATGGGGAGGGAGGCAACGAGTTGGCGTCCTCAATTCAATCCTGAGGGCAAGCCGTGCGCAGCGGCGCCACCCGACCGATTTTGCCCCACTCAAAAGGCTTTACACGATACCCCCGAGGCGACGCCACCTATCCCGGACGAATTTAATGGGAAGTTCCTGACCTGCGGGGACTGGCGCCGCATTCGCAAGTCCAGCTACGCGATCAACACGTGCCGGATTCGTGTGCTCAGCCAGGCCTCGGCGGCCTTCCTACGCGGCGATGGCAAGACCGCGAAGGTCTTGAGCCGAAAGGGCCGCGATCTCGGTGCGGAGTACCAACGACTAAATCGTCTCGCGATGCTCTCCCTGGAGCAGGAGCGGCTGGCGAACGACTCCATCATGACGCTCGATTTACACGGCTTCCATGTGGAGGAGGCCTTGGAGGTCCTTTCTCGCCGTGTTCAACTTTGTGTCAAGAAACGAATCCCGCGGCTTACCATTATTATCGGCGAGGGAAAACATAACCGAAAAGGGTACTCGATCGTATACCGCGCTGTACTTGACAATCTCAAAACCGACTCATTTCTAAGCGCCAAGACTCGGATAACCTCAGTCAAATCAGCTCTCGTTGAAGTCCGTATTAAATTTAATCCCAATTTCACGTGATTATTAAACGGGCATATGAATTCAAACACGCAAGCCAGGTCCTCTTCACGAAATCCGAAATCATGTTGCGTTGTCAAAGCTTAGCACCACAGGTAGGTGGTGGTGATGGTGTGTGTGTGAGAGAACAGATGCCAGAAGCTCGCGAGCAGAATCCTGGACGTGAGGTGTGTGTGTGTGTGTGTGTGTGTGTTGATAATGGGTAGCGTCCTATACTATCATTGTGCGCGGCCACCCAATCACCGATAGTTATATGGATGAATCAATTAACATTTTAAGAGTAACGTAATTTATCCATTTTTCTCTTTTATTAAATTTGCTGCTGTGGGAGAACATCTTATTTATTTAGACATATTTATTTATTATATTGGTTTCCTTGAGACTTGTGTGAAGTATATGAATATATATATATACTAAGTCGATGAGTGTAAACCTAATCTTCAAGGACTTCTGAATTAAATAAATATGATAACAGACAACTTAGAACTGCTCTAGGGTATCTTTTCTTTATATATTTTTTTGAAGCGTATTAAGACCTATTGGTACGATGAGTGTCCAAACGTTCTTTCTTCCCGGGATCTTCTATTTGAGGAATTGCTTTTACCGAAGTAACCCATTTTCATTCATGCTTTAAAGTTTTAAATACATGAACTATAGAATATATTCATAAAACCTCAATGTTAAGTGGGAAATCTTTATAAAATATTATTTTATATACAATTTTTAATCATTATATTTTTCTGAATTTAAAAGGGATTTCCAATATCGTTATTTTTTTTC